GCTTGCTGCAGGTCTTCCACATGGGTTCAGGGTGCCAAGGCTTAGGGCCATCCTTTGCTGCTTTCTCAGGCCATCGCAGGAAGCTGGATCGGAAGTGGGGCAGCCAGGACGTGACCTGGCATCCATAAGGGATCCCGATGCACGCAAGACAAGGATTTAGCCACTAGACTATCACACCAGGCCCCTGAACTTTTTAAGACTATGTTTTATGGGGTGGGTTTTGTGGAGCAGTGGGTAAAGACTTTTTGAAGGCCTGACAAGATGAGGGGAAGGAGGCATTACTGGGACTCAGAGACCAAGAGGGCAGGGTGAGAAGGATGCTTAAGGCCTGCATCCAAGACACAGCCAGCCTCCAGCAGCACCAGGGCAGCCTGTGGATCTGGAACCCGACCTCTGAATAAGAGAGATGGCAGGTTGGACAATCTGATTCCGCATCTGAGTGCTGGCTTCCGGGACTGGCTCTGCTCCCCGTTCCAGACTGGAGCCAACGCACAGGGTGATGGCTTCAGTGTGCCTGCCACTCGTGCGGAGTAGCCAGGCTGGGTTCCAGGCTCCCGGCTGAGGCAGGGATTGGAGGAATGAAGTAGCAGATGAGACATTTCTTGCTCTCTGGCTCTCAATTTTTAAATGCACATTATCTTTTTTTAAAAGATTTATTTTAATTGCAAAAGTCAGATATACATATAGAGGAGGAGACAGAGAGGAAGATCTTCGTCTACTAATTCACTCCCCAAGTGACTGCAATGGCTGGTGCTGCGCTGATCTGAAGCCAGGAGCCACGAGCTTCCTCCGGAGTTCCCACGTGGGTGCAGGATCCCAAGGCTTTGGGCCGTCCTTGACTGCTTTCCCAGGCCACAAGCAGAGAGCTGGATGGGAAGTGGGGCCTCTGGGATTAGAACTGGCACCCATATGGGATCCTGGTGCATTCAAGATGAGGACTTTAGCTGCTAGGCCACGGCCCAATGCACATTATCTTTTTTTTTTTTTTTAAAGATTTATTTTTATTATTTTGTTATTGGGAAGGCGGATATACAGAGAGGAGAGACAGAGAGGAAGATCTTCCATCTGATGATTCACTCCCCAAGTGAGCGCAACGGGTCGATACTACGCCGATCCGAAGCCAGGAGCCTCTTCCGGGTCTCCCACGCGGGTGCAGGGTCCCAAAGCTTTGGGCCGTCCTCGACTGCTTTCCCAGGCCACAAGCAGGGAGCTGGAAGGGAAGCGGGGCTGCCGGGATTAGAACCGGCGCCCATATGGGATCCCGGGCGTGCAAGGCGAGGACTTAACCACTGCGCCACCGCGCCGGGCCCCACATTATCTTTTTAAAACTATTTTTATTTGGAATAATTACGGAAAGAAGGAGAGGCAGAGAAAGAGGTCTTCTATCTGCTGGTTCACTCCCCAAACAGCATCAATGGCCAGAGCTGGGCTAATCTGAAGCCAGGATCCTGAAGTCCCACCCTGTGGTTGGTTCTTCTGGGTCTGCTACGCGGGTGCAGAGGCTCAAGGATTTGAGCCATCCTTTGCTGTTTTCCTAGCCCATAAGCAGGGAGCTACATTGAAAGAGTAGCCAGGACTTGAACTAGTGTCTATATGGGATGCCAGCCCTTAGCCCACAACACCACAGCATTGGCCCCAAATGATTTTTTTTCAGAAAGTGGTTCCTATATGAGCACTGGTACATGTCCTGGCTATTCCACTTGTGACACAGATTCTTCCTTATGGCCTGGTAGGGCTGTAGAAGGTGGCTTAAGTCCTTGGTTACATGCACCCATATGGAATACCTAGAGGAAGATCCTGGCTCTTGGCTTTGGATCAGCTCAGCTCCAGACATGAGGCCATATGGGCAGCCACAACTTAATGGAAGATTTGTCTCTTTGTGTAATCCTGCTCAAATAAAAATAATTTTAAGTAGTCTTTTAATCTTTAAAGAGATTGTCCATCAGTTGGTTCACTCAAGTGGCTGCAATGCCGGAGCTGAGCTAATTTGAAGCCAGAAACTGGGAGCTTCTTTCCTGTTCTCCTCCATGGGTGTGCACGTGCCCAAGGACTTGAGCCATCTTCCCCTGCTTTCCCTGATCTTAACCAGGGAGCTGGATCAGAAGTGGAGCAGCCAGGGCCTGGTGCAGTAGCCTCTAGGCTAAAGTCCTCACCTTGTATGTCCCAGGATCCCATAGGGTCGCTGGTTCTAATCCCAGAAGCCCGTTTCCCATTCAACTCCCCGCTTGTGGTCTGGGAAAGTGGAGGACGGCCCAAAGGGACCCTGGGCCCATGCGGGAGACCAGAAGAGGCTCTGGGTTCCTTTCCTGGGTTCAGATCAGTGCTGTTCCGGCCTTTCTCTGGTCCCACAGGTGGAAGATTAGCATGTTACTACTGCTCTTGCCCCTAAAAAAACAAGCAGTGTATACACTTGTACAGAATTATAGAATATAAGCCATGACTGAAATTCATGCAGTTTATTCATAACATGTATTTCCTTAGAACTTCTTGACTATCCTTCATGGATTTCAATTTTTTTCATCAATCTTGTTTTATTACATTTCCCATGAACCTTCTAAAGTATCTTTGTATATGAAGCTGTAACTTATTTTCACTGCTGTATTGATTTCATTTTATGAATATACAATTTTTGGCAGGCATTGTGGCACATCATGTAAAACCACCACTTGGGATGGTGGCATCCCATATCCAAGTATCTAGATTCTGTCCTGGCTACTCTGCACTTCTTTCTCTTTTTGTATTTGCACACATTTCCCAAGCGAGAATTCCTTTAGGGCATATACTTAGGGATTTACAGGAGATAATGCTTAAAAAATTCATGAAAAATGGGAATTAAAAGATAAGTTTATTTTGGTTGACAAAAATTTTAAATCTATGCACATGAGTATATGCAAGTTCAACTTTGAAATGCCATGTTCTCTAGATAGGTCTTCAATGATTTTTCTGTTACCAACGTCTGCAAGGGCTCTTTGTCCGCACCCTTCACAGTACTTTGTTGTCGGCTCGTTTGGACATTTTACCAGCAATGTTATTATATGACTGCCGAACCCATCTTCTTTTTTCAAGGACGGAGGAAGAGAAACACACACAAAAAACCTTCCATCTGCTCGTTTGTTCCCCAAATGGCTGCAATGGCTTAAGCCAGGTTGGTCTTAAGTCAGAAGTCAGAAACTTCATCAGGGTCTTCCATGTGGGTGCCAGGGCTCATGGATTTGGGGGACATCTGCTGCTGCTTTCCCTGGTACATCAGCAGAAAACTGGATCAAAAGTGGAGCATTCAGGATTCAATTGGCGCCTATGTGGTGTGTTAACACCACAAGCAGCAGCTTAGGACACCAGGCCACAACACTGATCCTGAAGGTATTTTCCCATCACTTTCCACATTTCTTCATCTGTCTTTTTCAAATTGTTTTCCAGGTGCTGAATTAAATGTTGGATGATACTCAGCTGAATTGATGATTAATATTGGTGATTCATCAGCATGTATCATCTGGGCTGTAGTTTTATTTTATAGCCTTCCTTTTTTTTTTTTTTTTAAAGATTTACTTATTTTTATTGGAAATTTAGATATACATAGTGGAGGAGAGACAGAGAGCAAAATTTTTTTGTCTACTAATTCACTCCCCAAGTGACTGCAGCAGCCAGTGCTGTGCCGATCCAAAGCCAGGAGCCTGGAGCTTCTTCCGGGTCTCGCATGTAGGTGCAGGGTCCCAAAGCTTTGGGCCGTCCTCGACTGCTTCCCCAGACCACAAGCAGGGAGCTGGATAGGAGGTGGAGCAGCCGGAATTAGAACTGGCACCCATATGGGATCCCAGTGCATGTAAAGCAAGGACTTTAGTCACTAGGCTATCATGCTGGGTCCTCCAGCCTTCCTTCTAGTAACATTGAGAATTTAGCCCTTTCTACACAAAGGAAAGTGCAGATAAGGAAACTGAGCTTTGGTGATGAAAGTAGCTTGCCAGGAAAGCTGGACCATCATGGAACACATAGTACACAGGCCGAAAGCCATGACTTTGAATCCCTTCCCTTATTTGATGTTGCTCGTATTTCCGTTTTCTGTAAACCTGGAGCCCCACTCTCAAGTCTGTCCGAGGCTGGGAGCTGGGCCGCCTGCCAGCTGCCTGACTCCTCAGGCTCCTCCAAGGACTTACTTGTAGGTGGCAGTGTTCCTTTCCAACCCTACTTTGCATTATTTTTTTTTTCTGGGGAGAATAGAAAAAGCCATCTGGTGAGCATCACCCTGAAGTGTGTGGTGGCAAGCTAGGCAGAATACAAAAACTCAGAAAATGAAGCATTTTGATACTTATGAGAATCGTCTTTCTGTGTAATAAATTTACTCTTTCCCCTAGACCTCTTGTTCACTTTTTCTTTTGAAAACAATGTTTTTGAATGGAGTCTAATTATTTGGTAATATCCTGCTTCTGGCGGAAGTCCAACCTTGTTCACGTGCAGCTTATTTGGTTTTGAATGTCGACCTCCTTTCCTTATTAGCTGCTTCTTACATTCACAGGACGTCAGTACTGTGACCTTCCCCCACGTCCCCACCTCCCACACGGTGGCATTCTTTTGTAACTGTCTAGAACAGAATCTACCAATTAGTGGATATTCAATTCTAAATATGTGTTGATTGAGAGACGGATGCAATAAGTGAACAAATGAGACAATGAATGAAAACCTTGCCAGGAAGGGACAGAACAATACCGAGGGGAGCAAACGGGCAACGGGCCCTCCCTGATGGGTCTCGTAAGGGAGTGCTTGTAACAACGCGATTTCAGCTTCTTGCTAACATGCATTCTGGGAAGTAGCTGATGTCTCAAGTGACCGGGTTTCTGCCCCACGAGGGAGACTCACACTGAGTTCCTGGCTTCTGCCCTGCCCTCTGTGGGCATGTGGAGAGCCAACTGGGGTATAGAACCCGGTTACCCTTGGGTTCTCTTTGTTCCCCAGATAAATAAATGAATAAACAGAAACTGCAGAATACAGATCTGGAAACAAATCTGTTTATATCCTAGCCATGCTTTTATTTACTCTTTTTATTTTTTAATGAATGCCAAAGTCAGGTATGAGATTTATTGGTGGAGACCCACTTTCCTGCAGAAAAAAGGGCAAGAACCAAGTAGGCAGAGAAAGCCTCAGACTGCCGTGCAGGGCTGAAGAAGCCAGGAGAACAGGGTGGTGACAGAATGCAGCCAGGCCTGTGTGGCAGCCTTAAGCTGGAAATGCCTGTTAGAGAAGTCCTTCTTTCCTGAACGGACTGGCACCATGTCCAGTTATTAGCAACAGCTCAGGAGAAGCACGTGTGGTCTTGGCCTTACACACGGTGGGAAGTCTAGAAAGGTGGAGGTCTGGCTTATTAGTTGGCTGTGTGCTGTCCTCTGGATCCGATGCTCACAGGTCCAAGGCCATCATGCCCTCCGTGGTGGGTTGGGGTTCACATGTTACTTGCTCAGACAGTAATATGTGTTTCTTTTTCTCAGTTTTTACCATTAAAACTAAAATTTTGTTTTCTGCTTTTTAAAGGTTACATTCTCTTTCTCTCTCAGTGGTAAGCTACATAAGAGGAGTTGCTTGCTTATCACTGCATCCTAAGCACACAAGATGAGATGGCATGCATTAGTACAAAACACAATAATCTTCATCTTTATCCATTCTCTATTCTGCTCCATTCATTTCTGCTTTGAAAGAAGTCTCATACTACAATAAAAAACACAGATCCCAGTTCAATGTTATTCTTCTGGAGCATGTTTTTTTAATGTACTAGCCATGTGTGACCAAAAGCAAAGTTGAACATGGACTTAGGAACGTATTAACACACATTCATGTACAGCTGAAGAGCTCCAGGGTTGCTAGCTAAGTATATTCTGGTGCCTGCTCGCTTCTGAGCCCTGAGATTCCTGTAGGCTGGTGATTGTCAGTGACTCTCGCAACAGCCTGCCTCCTCAATCCCACCTCCTTTCCAGAAAGCAACATTTGTCAGCTGATATAGCAGAAAGTATTGGAAGAAGAGAAAGGGGATATAAACAATAAAGCCAGAATGAAGAAACCCAGAAAAGAGTGGCAGATGATTTTAAATCACAGAAGACTTTAAGACACTATTCACAGGTCACATGTAAAATTAAAAATCAGGAGTGGGCATTTGACCTAGAGCTTAGACAGACCATTAAGATGTCCACGCATTGCACTGGAATACATGGGTTTGCATCTCAGCTCTGGCTCCTGGCTCCAACTTCCTGCTAACACGTACCCTGGTGGACGGTGATGATGACTGAGGGGTTGGGTTCCTGTCATTCACATGAGAAAGCTGGACTGAATGCCCACATTGTGGCTCTGCCCTCCATCAAGTTTCCAGCTGCTGCAGGCACTTGAGGGTGAACCAGCAGATCGAAACTCTTACTCTTTCAAATGGAAAAATAAAATTAAAAAATCACATCAACCATCCAGTCCAAACTTGTCATTTAACAATTAAGGTAGTTTTACTTCTTCGATTCCAATTTGAGTACCTTTTATTTTTTCCCTGCTTTACTGTATAGACCATAATCCACAACAATAGAGAAATTATAAGAGTGGAAATCATTGTTGTGTTGTTGATTCTAGGGTAAGCACATTCAGTTCATCATTAAATATGATGTTTTAAAAAAGATTTATTTATTTATTATTGCAAAGGCAGAATCTGCTTTCCCAGGCCACAAGTAGGGAGCTGGAAGGAACGCTGAACAGCTGGCATATGAACCAGCATTCATATGGGATCCTGGCACATGCAAGGCAAGGACTTTAGTCACTAGGCTACTGTGCCGGGCCCCCTGTAGTTTCCTTGTTTAACATACAGGGTTTGGGTATTAGAGTGATGGCTAATAGAGCAAGCTGTGAGTCTTTCCTCTTCAGTTTTCTGGAGAACTTTATATAGCACTGGAATTTGTGTTTTTCTTTAAAATATATCATCTCAACAACGATTACAGAATTCTGAAGTGGTTGTATTACTATCAGATAAACTGCACATCAAATAATACTAGGAAAGAAGATAACCATTTATAAAGTGAGTTGTTTCATAATACAAGTTATAAAAAGAATAAATTAATCTAAATGAGATGATCATGTAATGCATTCGTTGTCCAGCAGCGATGGACTTGGTGCCTGGAGCCGATACTCTCACACGTGGACTACTGACTGATGGTTGATAGCCGAAGTTTATTAGTGGCAACAGGCTTTTATAGACTGAGGGTCACAGGATAAGGGAGGAGGCTTTGAGGAGTTTCCATCTCAGCAACAGGGAGTTGACTGGAGACGATGGGGGTTCCCATAAGCCTGTCCAAGGGTCCCTTCAATTATTCCCACACTGCTGCCTAGGAGTACCTTTCTTTGTTTTGTATATTCAATCCACTGTCCTCAACCAGCTATCCAATTGGTTGTCCTCTTACAATAACTAAAAGCAGAGTTTGTAAACACATGAAGCAAAAATGGTAAAACTAAAAGAAGTTGAAAAATCCACAATTACATTCAGAAATTTCAATAGTCCTCTCATAATCAACATGGAAAAACAGCAGGGATATATGAAATATAAAGTACAACTGCTGACTACAATGGAATTAAATTGTAAGTCAATAAGATATACAGAAATTCCTCAATATTTGCAAAATAAACAGCACACTTACCAAAAACTCAAGGGTCAAAACCAAAGTGAACTCACTTTCTCAGATCAGAAACTAGGAGAAAAAAAACTTTCAAAAGTTAAAAACACAAAAACAGAACATATGCTAAATCATCTTAATACAAAACAGAAAAACCAAGAACAACAACAAAAAAAATCTATGAAAGTGAACGCAGTTTTTGAGATCCCTAAAGCTGAGAAGCTTCCTCTGAACAGGAGCCAAGGAAGAGGACACAAGTCATTTCAAGAAATGACGGTCCGATGTTTACAGAGCTTCCAAGGAAGATGAAACTGCACCTTCAGCAGATTTATAGGGCTAAACAATTCAGAAGATCACAACTTGAAACAAAAAAACTTGTGTTTTTAACATTTCAGAAGAACAGATTCAGATTTGTGACCAAAAAACCCACAAAAAACCAAAAACAATTCAGAAGATCGCACAAACTTGTAGCGTTCCCTCAGGAAGAAACGCCAGTGAATACCTGCTGTCTCTGTGCGTGTTCAGGCCCGAGTCAACAAAAGCTTACTGCTGGCCAGGTGGCTCGGGGAGAACTCAGGGACGTGTTTCCCTAATCTCAGGCCCGCGGTCCCCCAGCCTCCCTCACAGGCCCGCGGTCCCTCAGCCTCCCTCACAGGCCCCCGGTCCCTCAGCCTCCCTCAGCTTCCGTCAGCCACCCGCCAGCGACCGCCTCCCCGGCCGGGGCCGCCCCGCGCCTGCGCCTTGCGAGCGCGCGAGTGGCTGCCGGAAGTGTGGCTTTGGAGCCGCCCGCTGTTGATTCCCATCCGGGGTCACATTCTCTCTTCCGGGTTTTTCGGAGGGTTCTTTTCTCTGCCTCGGTTTGGGCAACTTTGGGGTCTTCCGTTTTGATTTATTTGTTTTTTTTTTGGGGGGGAGGAACCGCCCCCAGCCTCCCCGCAGCTCTGCCGGCCCTGCCTCCTTCTCTCGGGTCGCTCCTCCCCTGGCCGCCGCACCCGGGGCTCGGGTCGGAGCCGGAGCAGGGGGCCTGGTCGCCCCGCCGTCGCCGCCTCCACTTGGGGGGGTTCAGGCGACAGCTCGTGGGGCGCTCCCCGGGCGGGCGGCGAGCAGTGCCCGCGGGCCCCGCTGAGCCCGTTCGCCGGGACGCCGCTGCAGCCTGGGTCCGGCGGGGGGCGGGGGTCGCCCCGGGCGGGGCGGGGCGGGGCGCTGGAAGTTTGTAAAAAAAGAAGAAAAGCGGTGCAGGGTTTTGTTGCGTCGCGGCGGCCTCTCGGACGTGGGGGCCGCTCGGGCGGCTCGGCTTCCCGTCCCTCGCGTCTCCGGCCTGCGTGCTGCCCCCCGACACCTCCCGGAGGCCAGTCTGGGGCGCCCTGCGATGCGTCTCCGATGGTGGGGGTGAAGAACTCGAGGTAAGCCTGTGGGGCCCCGGGCGGGGACTTTTCCGGGAAAACAAAAACATCCGCGGATTCGGGGGCGGGGGACTGTCGCTGGCCGGCGTGAGTCCACGGGGAGCCACGCGCCGAGGTCCCGTTTCCACGTGGGCTGGGAGTCTGAGGAAGCGGGAATGTGGCGTGGAGAGTCCGACCCGCGACCGGGAGTGGGCCCGACTGTGGACGTGGCGGGCCGGGCTGGGGTTCCAGGCTCGCAGGGGCCTGGACGAGGCGGACGCGTGGAGGTCCCCGCCTGCTTTTTACCCCTGGCGGTAGTTGCTTTCAAGGAATCCTCTTAAAGGCGTTTCGGAACCTGGAGTCGTTCTCTGATTGGCTGAAGGATAGAAGTTCCATTGTTGTAAAACACCCGAGATCGGGTGCTGTGATCGCGGAGAACTGGTTTGTCACCTACTTGGTTAACTGCTGTAAAAGTCTCTGCTGAACTTGTCTGACTTCCCCGTTGGGTGGGTCTTACTCAGGAAGAACTAAAAATACAGAAGCTTTCAAAGCAATTCCAGTTCTCTCCGTAATATTCTATTTTATAAACCAGGTACAGATTGAGAAATGGGTGACTTTCTTGGTAAGGAAAATGGGACATTGTCAGTTAAATAGCAAATCTGGATTTTATCACGGAGTTTGTGAAACCCTCTGCCACAGATAATGTGGGGTGACATTTCCTACAGTCGTCTGTTAGTGAATGTGCATTTTGTTCAGAATATAAAGAGAAAAAAGATTTAGATCTTGGAAGGTCTGCTTAAGAATGGCATAATAATAGGCTTACTGGATTTTAATCTGTCAAGCTGCATGTTCTATTTTTTTAAATCTATTGACAGTAGATTACTATTCCAGTGTTTTTATATTCAGTAAAATCATTGCTGAAAGGTGTTAGAAAAAGGAATTAAGGGTGGTGTTCGTGGGAAGCCTGTAGTCCTTGTCAGCGCCAGGCTGTGAATCCCAGATCTGTCTCCAGCTCGCTGCCCGTGCCCCTCCTCCCGAACAAGCCCCCTGCCCACGACCCTACCCATACCCACTGCCTCCCCCGTGTCCTTTGCCCTTGCCCAGGTCTAGCCTCAGCGGCAGCTGTTTAGGGCTCCAGTGCTTTTTTCCTACAAACACAGCACTGAATTCCTGACTTGTGCCTTTGGCATTCCCTTGGGGGGACGCACCAGCAGATGGGAGATCTTTGTGTATTTGCCTTTCAAATGAGCAAGACTAATAGGTATAAAGAATAACCTTTAGATGCTCGTACTACTTACCTGTATTATAGGGTTGCATCGGATGCTCTAGGTTAAATTTCTGCGGAATGATTCTGGGAGAGCTAGACTGGATAAAAGCCTGACTTGAAGGCAAGAGGCTGGGAGAGTCTGTTAGCTGTTTTGTGCTAGAGGGGCCCAAAAACTGTGAGACTCATGTGGGATTTGGCTGGGTGGAATGAGATGTCTGCCCTACAGTAAACTTTCTGTGGAATTATTCTTAACTGTAAGCCCAGGATACTTTGGTTATTAATTTTATAGAGTAGTTCTGGGCCACAGGATACCTTTTAAACTTGTTTTTGGTTTAGATTTCTTCCTAAGGGAATAGATATAAAGTGCAGTTTGGTGTTTAGTCATTTCAGGCTTTCAGATCTGGATGCCTGTGCACAGGCTCTCACTTGGGCTCGGAGGAAAACCAGAGCGTGTTACAGATGTTAAGAGGCTGGCCTGGGGTGGCCTGCCATGCTGGCAACCCCTGTGAGTGCCAGTACTTTTGATTCAGCTTTTTGCTAATGCCCCTGGGAAGGTAGCAGAAGATGGCCCGAATGCTGGGGTCCCTGCCACTCACCTGGAGACCCGGGTGGACTTGAGTTTTGTCTTCAGCCTGGGCTGGTACTGGCTGTTGTGGACAGTTTTGGAGTCAGTCTCACCTTCTTTCTCTTTTGCTCCACCTCTTTTGTCACTATGCCTTTCCAAGGAACCAGGAACCCCATCCAGGACTCTGTTGGGTGGCCCAAGTATGCACTGCTGCCTTCGCAGTGCGTTAGCAGGGAGCTGGGTTGAAAGTGCAGCAGCCGAGACTCAAGTTGTTATCCAAATGGAATGGATGCTAGTGTTGTAGGCAGTGGCTTAACCCTCTGTGCCACAGCACTGACCCCATAAACAAATGTTGAAAAAAAGAAAAGTACGTAAGCTTTTACCCATGTATTGGTTTAAACCTGAAAACACAACAGTGTTACTTTCCCAAGTGCACATCCCTTGTTTAGTTTTGCGGTGTCTATTCCAACACAGTGGAATTCAGTCAAGACTCATTACAGTGCATCTCAGTTAATACTGTTTTCTGATAAATCAGATGAAGTAAAGAAAGGAGGGTATTAACCTGGGCAGAGGGTATAACAAGATGTCAGCTGTGAGTCTGGCTGGCATGAGTATTGAATGCACTTTTAACACAGAATTTCCTCAAGTGCCTCTTGGTCAAGATGTGTTCCATCCTGATCGGTGAATGTCAGGGAATGCGGGTCATCAGCTATGAGCGTTGATTTTTCTTCTTTGAACTCTTTTATAATAAGAGATGAGAACCTACTAGAAAAGGCTGAAGAACTCTTGCTTTCCGGTGGTGAATCAGAGCTGGGCACTGTGGACGAGGTCTGATGTGGGTCAGTGTCTCTACGGTCTGTGATGAATCCTGGATCCACTGTACCCAACCTTTAGGGAATTTCATAGAGTGAATTTTTAAAATGTAACAGTTTGTAAGAGCAATTTTTAAAAAAGATTTATTTATTTATTGGAAAGTCAGATATATATAGAGGAGGAAAGACAGAGAGGAAGATCTTCCATCCAATGATTCACTCCCCAAGTGGCCGCAACAGCCGGTGCTGCGCCAATCTGAAGCCAAGAACCAGGAACCTCTTCTGGGTCTCCCACACAGGTTCAGGGTCCCAAAGCTTTGGGCCGTCCTTCACTGCTTTCCCAGGCCACAGTCAGGGAGCTGGATGGGAAGCAGGGCTGCCGGGATTAGAACCTGCATCCATATGGGATCCCAGTGCGTTCAAGGCGAGGACCTTAACCACTACACTGTTGTGCTGGGCTCTTCTTGCAGTTTTTAAAGCCCTCGTAGTCTGCTTCCCTAGTCAAATGGATAACCACCTCAGTTCGTTTTAGCTACCTAGATGCTATTTAGTTATGTTAAAATGCAAAGTGGAGGCTGATGTGCTGTGGGTTATACCACTGCTTGTGAGGCCCCTTTCATCCCTTATCTGAGCAGTTTGAGTCCTGACTTCTCTGCTTCTAATCTAGCTCCTTGTTACTGCAGCTGGGAGGCACTGGATGATAACCCAAGTACGGGGGTCCTTGCAGCCCACCAGGGAGATGCAGATGAAGCTCCTGGCTCTTGGCTCTGGGCTGTTGTGGGCATTTGGGGAATGGACCAGTGGCTAGAAGATCTTTTGTTGTCTCCTTTTCTCTCACTCTGCCTTTCAAATTGTAAGTACATATTTGTGTATTCAGTATTTGTGAATGCATAATAATGGTTTTAAAGAAAAGTCAATGTATATTTCATGAAAATGAAAACTTAGCACTTTTCTTATAATTCCCTTTTTAAAAAAACCTATTTATTCATTTGAAAGTTAAGGGTTAAGGAGAGGGGGAGATAGATCTTTCATCCAGCTATTTAACGCCTTAGATTTCCGCAATGGCCAACTGGGGCTGTGCCGAAGGCAGGGGCTTCATTTGGATCTTGCATGTGGGTAACTGGGCCCAAGCCTTCTGGTCATCTGCTGCTGCTTCTCCCTGGCCTTTTGCAGGGAGCTGAATCACAAGTGGAGCAGCTAGGATCTGGTTCCCATATGGGGTGCTAGCACTGACCCCGATACCATTTCTTATCCTATATATATGTGTGTGTGTGTGTGTGTGTAATTGTGACACACTTGTATGACTCATATAACACAACACGTATCTATATATACAAATTAATATGTGACACATGGTACATGTAAGTAGATACAGCATGTACTAAATGATTTATAAAAATTATCCTAATTCTTGTTTAATGTATTTATATTATTGTAACAACCAAGAAGGTAACTGATTGTATTTCCTTCTTTGTATTACCTTTTGAATTTTCTTTGCAGATTTTAAAAGCAAAATTTATTTATTTGAAAGACCGAGTTATACACACACACACACACACACACATACACACACACGTGTGTGTATATATTAACATATAAAGAGAGAAACAGATCTTGTATCTACTGGTTTACTTCCCAGATTGCCCCAGTGGCCAAGGCTGTACGAGGCTTAAGCCAGGAGCCAGGAATTTCATCTAATCTCCCACATGGGTAGTAGGGACCTAGATATTTGGGCTATCTTGTACCCTAGCAGGGTGCTGGAACAGAAGTGGAATAGCTGGGACTCCAAGTGGTACCCCTATGGGATGTGGCATTATAGGTGGCAGCTTAACTTGCTGTACCATGATGCTTGCCTCTCTGGAATGTGTTTATGGAACTGGCATTGTGGTACGGGGGTTTCATTCTCCGTCTGCAATGCTGGCATCCCATTTGGGCACCATTTGAGTCCTGACTGCTTCACTTCTGATCCAACAACAGAGTTACAGAGGAAGGTCTTGCATCTGCTGGTTCACTTCCCAGAAGGCCACAGTGGCCAAGGCTGGAGCCCAGAACAGCATCCTGGCTTCCTAAGTGGTTAAGTGGCCCATCTGCTTTCCTCCCTAGGCAGGTTCACAGGAAGCCAGATGGGAAACAGAGTAGCTGGGACTGAAGCCAGCACTCTGTTACGGGGTGTGGGTGCTGCAGACAGTGGGGTGATCCACAACACAGGCTTTCACTGTTAACTGATTTTATAGTCCTGTAATGATTCCTTCTCTGTGATTAGAACTTGACTTTGGTCAGTTACATCAGGTAATCTATCTGTTGATTCTTCATCGTGAAGCCTTAACCCTCCTGCTGTAATGTGAGCTGTTAGCCCACCGTCCTCATTGAGTTGAAGGGGGGGAGTTTCCTTTTCCTAGGTCAGAGATTTTGTGTTTTGTTTCGCAATATGCACATGCTGGGGGTGTTTTTAGTTTTAGCCTACAGTGTTAGTGTAGCTGGGTACGATTACAGCTTGAGAGCATTTCTTTGTGGTTTCTGTTGTTGCAAGTCCAAAGTATTTTAGTTCCCAACCCCATTTTTCTAACATTTCTTCCTTCTGCAATTTTTTATAGGTTTCTTTTTCCTGAAATTTTATCATAATATGGCTTGATTTTTTTTTTAAATTTTAAACTATGTTTTGTTCTCATTTGGTCCTTTCTGTATAACATTTGGTGTCTGTCAACCCTGAACATTTTCTTGTGTGTTACTAATTTGGTAATTCTCTTTTCTATATCTTCTGTGTTCTTTCTGGCTCTTCTGTTCCATTGTTGCATTTTGGGTCACAAAGTTTTGTTCTCTTATTTCTTGTTTCTTTTTTGCTCCCACTGTTTTTTTTTTTTTTTTAACGATTTTTTACATAGGTGATTATGGTGCGAAGGGTCAAGGGCTAGAGGAAGGTGGGAGAGACCGTTATTCTCACCCAGCCTCCCAACCGCTGGGATGGGGGACAGCCACCCGATGCCATGCCAGGGTCCCCAATTTGGGGTTCACTCTGAGGGTCCTGTGCGCAAGGTTTTGATGGTTCGCGGTCAGACCATGGGACCTGCAGTTCTCTTCATGCTTGGAGTTCTGAGTCCAGCGATTCAGTTGGGGGATCCCCAAAGAAGCTTCATCTGAGGTGATCCCACACCTGATTCTGTGTGTGCCTGTCAATAAAGGGTCTGGCACAGTCTGTCTCCCCAATCAGCCTTCATGCACACTATTAGTTACAATTGCTGGGTCAGTTCTGCCTCCAGCTCTGTCTTCTACACAAACCAATGTGTGTTGCAGCCCAGCCCGATCGATCTTACCTACCACACGCTTGGCCTTCACATACATGGTAGGCCCCGGTTTTCCAAGGGTTAACTCCACAGCTTAGCTTGTTTTCCTGTAAGGCAAAATCTCACATACTTCTTTGTAAGTAAGAACACAAGTAATTTACAATCTGGATTAATTTCATGAGTAGGAAACATATGCTGAAACAAATTTAGCATAATTTTATAATATTGTGAGATTATAATCCAAATTATTTTGAATGACAATTACATTATTCAGATTTTTGTCTCTCAATCTTTGAGAGTTCCAGGGATCCTACTAGAACCCTCAAAGTCATGAGACTTGGTTTAGCACTCTGAAGAATTTAGAGGTCTAAATGAGTTTAACAAAAATTACCTTTAGCATTTACCTGAACATGTACTGTATGTTAGACTTGATCAATGCCAAGACAACACTGTAAGCTGAAGACCAAGCAGTAAGAAAACATCATACGAACTTTTCCCCAGTGGAGGTGGGGAGTCTGGTTCTGGCCAGGTCCTGTTTAATTTGTTAGACTCTCTAAAATCATTTACCAGGAGAAAGTGACAGCTGCTGGATTTGGAAGCCCTTGCGTGTGTGGGTGGTACCTGTCAGGTTGTCGGCTTCCTTATAGATTGAAGGAGTTCCTCGTTTGCCTTCCTTGGCAGACTCCCAACTCTTAGCTGTGTGGCAGGTTCTGTTGTTACTGTGCTGTTTGGTTTCCCTCTGATTTGGTAGAGTTTCCTAAGTGGCCGAAGCCAGGAGTGTCGTCCTAGTGTGCCCTGGGGATGACAGGCCTCAGGTGCTGGGCCATCTTGCGCTGCCGTCGCAGGTGCTTAGCAGGGACTTCACTGGGACCATTCCTACGGGGTACAGGTGATGTAGCAGCTCTCAGGCTTCCAGTGCTGCGTTCTAACTACTTTATGTAATTTTTTTTTTTAATTCTTGAGGAACAAAGCCCTCTTTTATTAGATGTCTTTTATATATTTTAAGTAAAGTCTTTTTAGATGAGATTGGTAAGATCCAGATATTAGGAATCAGATTCTTATATGATGACTTACATATTTTTTATAAAGTTGATTGAGAGTAAATTTAAATGTGGCTTCCTTTTATTACCAGAGGATGGTGACTTTTTTTTAAAGCTTTGTTAATGTTAGGGTAAAGTTGTTAGGGTAAGTTTATCAGAAAATTAGATGTATTTTGCTATTGTTTCAACAATGCCATTAATATTTAACTTGCTAGGATTAAGTTTTTTGTTATCTGTAGTAGAACTTAAGAGACTTGTTTAAATTTCAAAAAGTAACTGACATTTGTAACTTAGTAACTGTTTTAAATAGCAGTCATTATTGAAATGTGTTCTTTATTGTTTAGCTGTAGTAATGTGGTGGTGTTTTTGCTTGTTTTTTCCCCCCAATTTTTTAGGTAGAAGAATACATGCTTGCTTTCAGTGAACAAGAGCATGTTCCCAAATTCCATTCTGGGTAGCCCGCCCTTCACGCCGAGCCATCAGCAGCATGGCAGTTTCTTCCCCTTGTCTCCCACTCTTTACTCACACCAGCAGTTCATAGATGCGCAGTTCAACTTTCAGAATGCAGAGTAAGTTACTATACCCTTTTGACCCATGGTGTTTGTAAATTTCATTATTTCATTTCTGTTGAACATATCTTTTTTATATGAAATATCTGAAGATAGAGAAATGTTGTCATTTTTGTTTCAAATAATGAATTATTTAGTTTTTCTAAAGTTGATTTATGTTTTTTAAAAAATGTATACAGAATACTGCTGTTCTTTTTTATTTTTGTAGCTTGTCCAGGGCTTTGTCATTACAGCAGCTGACATATGGAAATGTCAGTCCAATACAGACCTCATCTTCTCCGCTGTTTCGAGGAAGGAAGTGAGTACTTTTCACCTCATTACTTTAACAGAAGTATTGCAGTGCGAGAGCTGTGTAAGATGTATCTAGTCTTGCATTTATACGCAGTGTGCTCTCAATCTTTTGTAGTACTTGCATGATCATGTCAGCCATAAAATGCTGTATTTTAGCCGCCTCAGGGATTCTTTGGTTGATTTAATTCCTGAAGTTGCTGTGAGTTTCAGTTGGAGTGAAGCTGTATTTCTTCAGGAAGCGTTTTATTTGTTTGAGATTTGTACCTAACTTGCATGGCTGTAGGAGAGTGCCTCAGGCTGGGGCTTTCAGTTACGGAGCTGTGACGTGGTCCAGCATTCTGGGGATTCCCGTGTACACAGGTCGGCTTCTTTGGAGGCCCCTCCGTGCGCTTGTGTCACCCTTTTGCCATGTTTGGTCCTCTGTGGGTTTTTGTGTTCTAATTTCCCAAGGCTGCTGGTCATACTGGATTAGGATCCACCCTATGGATTCCAGTTTTTTTTTTTTCTAAGATTTATTTATTTTCATTGGAAAGTCAGATATACAGAGGAAGAGAGACAGAGGGGAAGATCTTCTGTCCACTAATTCACTCCCCAAGTGGTAGCAGTGCTTGAAGCTAAATCAATTGAAAGCCAGGAGCCAGGACTTCTTCTGGATCTTCCACGAAGATGCAGGGTTCCAAGGCTATGAGCCGTCCTCGACTGCTTTCTCAGGCCACAGGCAGGGAGCTAGATGGGAAGTTGGGCCACCGGAATTAGAACTGGCGCCCATATGGGAACTTTAGCCTATAGGCTACCATACTGGGCCCAGACTCCAGTTTAACTTGATTGCTGTTGTAAAGGTCCTTTCTCTAAATGCAGACACATTCTGAGGTGCCAGGGCTTAGAATGCAAATTAGCTCATACATACTATTTCCTTTCTGGTGCAGTTCACTGTATATTTTTCTTTTGATTTATTTAAATCGTATACATGCAGGGTTCTGTGATACCAGATACTCTTAGAGTGAAAATTCCCATATAACATAAAGCTCTCAGTAGTTTAGGCATGAGCCAATTTAGTTTTAACTCTTTATTCAATGAAAAAAAATTCTTGGGATAGCTTAAGAATTTAGAGAATGTTATGAAAACAACAATTGGGAAGATACTGCTATTGTGTATATGTAAGTATCTCTGCAGATTCAGAGTCGCACAAGCAAGGGATTGTTCAGCAGTGTAAGTTTTGAAGACGCCTCGCAATCACGCAGTTATTCCTGTTTGCAGGAAAAGTGTATAGGTGACAAGTGACAGCTAGAATTTGATATCTAGCTGTCTGCTTCTGGATTTCTTGCTTACAAGCAAAAGTTGTTCTCAGTGTTATCATTGGGCAGTTATAGTGATTCTAAAACTATTGACTTTAATGACAGTTGAAAATAAGTTTCATTAGTTTGTAATTTTACGTATGTTTTAAAACTAATGATGACATTTCGAATAGAAGATGTGTGGCATTTATATAATTCCTAATTATTTTTATTTGTATCAAGATTAAGCCTGATGGTTAAGACATGATGATGTCCGACTTTATTTTCTGGCTCTGGTTCTTGATTTCAGCTTCCTGAAAGTGCAGACCCTGGCAAGTCATGGGCAATAGCCCACAGAGGTAGTTTCCTGCCACCTACGTGGTGACATGGGTGGAGTCCTCAGCCCCGGCTATCATGGGCATGTGGGACAGTGACTCTGGGAATGTGAGCTGCCCTTCACTCCATTTGTCTGCCAAGAAAATAAATACTTATACTTGCAAATTAAAAAAAAAGAACTTGTGTATAACTAACACTGCACACTTTTGACTGGAAGTTGTGGTTTTCTGTGACCGGCAAGGGGCTATGAATTGGCATAATCCTACAGGAGTATTAAGACTGCCAGGTGGTTATCATAGATTTTTAGAGTTTAGAAGGAATTGGATCAGGACCAACAATGTGACGTAGCTGGTGAAGACGCCACCTGTGGTGCCCACGTGCCGTGTTGGTGCAAGTCTTGATAGAGTCTTGACTGAGCCCTGGCTGTTCCGCTTCTGATCTGGTTCCCTGCTTAGATGCCTGGGAAGGTAGCAGAGGATGGCCAGATGCTGGTCTCCTTTCACCCCCATGAGCTCCACACTGCCCTGCACGGCCACTTGGTCCTCTGGGCAGTGAGCCCCTGAATGCAAGATCTCGTTCTGAACGCTTTTAGATTAATTAATTTATAAAACAAGTAAGTAAATTAATAAATCGTTCAAAAAGAAAACAGGGGTCTGGTGCGTGGCATAGCCAAAGTCCTCGCCTTGAAGGCGCCGGAATCCCATATGGGTGCTGGTTCTAATCCCGGCAGCTCCACTTCCCACCCAACTCCCTGCTTGTGGCCTGGGAAAGCAGCAGAGGATGGCCCAAAGCTGTGGGACCCTGCACCCGTGCGGGAGACCTGGAGGAGGTTCCTGCCTCCTGGCTTCAGATCAGCACAGCACCGGGCGTTGCGCTCACTTGGGGAGCGAATCATCGGACGGAGGATCTTCCTCTCTGTATATATGTCTTTGCATAAAAATAAAATAAATCTTTAAAAAATAAAAAAGAGAACAGCTCTCATTTTTTATAGCATAAATTAGCTTTGTGAAAGACTTAATGTCAGGTAAATAACTTTTCCTGAATGGACATTTGCTTTTTACTTATTTTCCTCTTTTAATCTGGAAAAATTAATTTTCCCCAAACTTAAAGAGCAGTACAGTGAATAATTGTATGCGTTTTAGCCAGATTAATCTCAACTCATTTTGCCATATTTGATTATTTCTGCTGCTTTCTGTTCCCACTGTGATTTTTATTTTCTGCTGAACCATATGAAAGTTATTGGCTTTATTTTGCTTTGTTCCAAAACATCAGCTTATTTCTCCTAAAAGCCGTTATATTCTATATACTCCCAAGTGCGTTGATTTTGCCCAAGAAATTTAATATTAATCCAGGACTGTTACCTGAAATTCATTTTCTGCTTTCCTTAGTTGCACAGTGTCTGCGTAGCTTTCAGCACATGTTTTATGATTGCAGTGATGAGGCAGAGCACGGTGGCATTTAAAGAGTTGTAAGTGTGTGATATTTACCTCACTTAATCTTAGGTTTCCTAGCTAGAATTTGGAACTTTTGTTCCTGGTGATTTCTTTTAGTAGAAATTTTCCTATATGGCTTCTACTGCTGAGGTGACGTTAGGATAGTTCCAGTGTCAGACTCACTCCAGTGTATGCATGTAGTTTGTTTTTCTAGATCATTATTGCTGCTCACTTTTTTTTTTTTTTAGGTATAAAGTTATTTCTTGAGCTTGAAAAATATTTTTTAAAAGATGTATTTATTTTTGTTTGAAATGCAGTTTGGAGAGAGATTGATCTTCCATTCGCTGGTTTACTTCCCAGTGGCTAAGCCAGAGCTGGGACAGCCTGACCCAGGAGTTTCTTCTGGATCTCTCAGCCGGATCCAGGGTCCCAAGGCCTGGGGCCATTCTCTGCTGCTTTCCCAGGCACATTGGCCAGGAGCAGAATCAAAAGTGGAGCAGCCAGGGCTTGAACCAGTGTCCTTGTGGGATGCTGGCTCTACAGGTGGTGGCTTAATTCCTTATGTCACAGTGCTAGCCCCGAAATGAAAGTTTCTAAGTGAATATGGCCTTGTCAGAAAGTTATCATGTCAGGGATCTTTTTACTTTTATGTTATCTGAAATTTATATCCTTGATCACTAAGATATATTTCTTCTTTTCAGGAGATTAAGCGATGAAAAAAACCTTCCTCTTGATGGTAAACGGCAGCGTTTTCATTCACCCCATCATGAGCCAACTGTGGTAAACCAGATAGTGCCTTTATCAGGAGACCGGAGATACTCAGTGCCACCGCTGTTTCATGCACACTATATGCCCGACATAGTCAGATGTGTTCCACCCTTCCGAGAAATACCGTTTTTAGAACCTAGAGAAATCATACTACCTGAAGCCAAAGATAAGGTAATAATAAAGTAGACTTTAGTTTGCCTTTTGGGAGTTTAGTACGAATAATGTATTAGAGAAATCAGATATATTTCATGTCCTGAGTTAAGTATTAAGTAGTCTTTTATCTTGTTTAAAGTACTGTTTGATGTCTAAATATTATTTTGTCTTTTTAGATAACATTCCTGTAAAACTGAGGCTATTAGAATACCAGATTTTTCCTTATTCAAAAAAATCTGGATTTTTGTGTAAATACCTTTATTTTCTTAGGATTGTTTTGATAGAGAAGTTTTGGTTATTGTAACAAAGTATTGAAAGTGTTTTCTTTTGGGGCTGTTTATTCGGTGAGTTTAGATGAAGAATCCCAGGCTTAATAAGTAAGTAATGGATTCAAAATAATATGATTAAGAAGGATTTCCCAGAAGCATTGTTTATGAATAAATGTTCTATGTAAATGAGGTGAGACTATTTAAAGTGCAGTTCTAGAAAAATGACAGATTGGTGAGTTTTTTCTTTCCTTTTTAACATTGTTTACATAGTGGAGAGGGCTGCATACCCAGGGGTCTTCCATTAGGGTGGGGAGGATAAGCTAGGGAGAAAGGTGGGTGTGGCAAAGCTGCAACTATTTGTTTTTCTCCCGGCAGGGAGGAAAGGGGATTGGGCCACCTCTTGCCATCAAACTGTATCAGCAACCAGGATGCATTTTCCAGTACTCAATATTAAAAGTGTATCTTCTCTCCCCATTTAGTGATACCCTGAAAACCTAAAATAGTTCTGTTTCATTAAGTTTGTAAATGTCTGCATTTTCTTTGTGGCTCACGCTTGCAATTGTACTTGTTCAGAGCTGTCCCATTCTTGAGAAAAATGACATTTGTAGGCTAAGGAGACTGGAGAAAGTAAATGTTTTATTTTACCAATCTTGGGTTCCTGAAGTCTGCACAGGTCTGGAACATGGCAAGTGTTGAGAAAATTTTGGGTCAAAAAAGCAGTACCTAGTTCATTCATTTGTTGTGCTGCTTTTTATTCCTTGATCTTTTTTTTTTTTTTTAATTATACCATAGAATTCACCCTTTGAGCATGTACAGTTCTGTGGGTTTTGGAATTTTCACAATACTGTCACTTTTGTCTGTAAGCCATGCCGTTTCCTCATGTCCGAAAGACGTCTTGGGCTCAGTGGTCTTCACTTCCCCCTTGCTCCCTGCTACTTTGAGCAGCAGCTCATGTGTTTCATTTTCATGGATTTACCTATTTTGGACATAGCGTAGACATGAGACCATGTAGCATGTGGTGTTTTCAGGTCTGTCCACGCCATGGTGTCTTTCAGTCCCCTTTTACAGCAGAACATTGTGTCCTGTTATGCATTCCTCAGCTGATGACCTCTGGGTTGTTGGCTGTTCCAAATGATCTGTTAAGTAGATGAATTCCTGTGTGGGAGTATGTGTTTACATATTTTGGCTTGCACCTAGGAGTGAGATTGTTGGGTCTTAAAATAACTTGGTGTTTAATTTTTTTTGTATTTCTTGTTACAATTTTATGATACAGTTCCATAGGCTCTGGGATTTTCCTAACCCCCTCTCCAAATCCCTTCCTCTCCCCACTGATTTTCCCCATATTATCACAATAGTATACTTTTCCTAAACAGTCATAAGTCCATTTTGGGATTGAACAATGGCAGAGAGTCCAGCATCCCATTGTCCAGATATAGTTAACAGTTTCATTAGGAGTCCATCTTTGATCTGGAAGTAGAAATGCATACTGGCTTGTATCCTCACATCTGGATATGATAGCCTCCATTATGTAGTTACTATGCATCCCCTTAAATGAAGTGGCTGTTTTATACATAAGCGTATCGGTTACGTTTGGTGTTCGAACTTCTTTAAAGGGCCAGGTAGGGACCATTGTAGGCTTTGCCACTTATGTTTGGCTACTGTTGTATATAATCTTATTTATCTGCTTTTATAATTCTATAAAAACATAAAAATTGCTGTTTGCTCATAAGCCATCCCAAAATAGACAATGACAAGGGGTTGTCGCTTGTTGTACAGATCATCATATTTGCCTTTTCAATATTATACCTTTAAAATTTCAGTGGAGTTTTTCAAACCATTATCTAGCTATTCCTAATTAACAATTTTGTATCAGAAAGTAATAAGATATTACATATTTATTTTTAAAGAACTGCCAGTGGAATTGATTTATAATATACTATTTCTTTTACATTTCTGAATAAAACCTTTGGTCTTGTGGTGGCCTCAAGTTGAGTCTGCAGATCCTGGAGTTATTTGAAACATGTCAGCAGCAGCTCAGCGACTTAAAGAAGAAGGAGCTGTGTCGGACGCAGCTGCAGCGAGAGATCCAGCTGCTGTTCCCGCGTAGGTCTCCCTCGCTTATGATGCCCTCTTGTGCATGCGTTCTTACTTAAATGTTAAGTAGTATCTTATAATTTTCTTCTGTTTCTCTAGAAAGCAGACTGTTTTTGGTTGGATCCTCTTTAAACGGTTTTGGTACTCGGACCAGTGACGGTGATTTGTGTCTGGTTGTTAAAGAAGAGCCAGTAAGTGCTGGAGCACTTGTTGCAAGTGTGTCCTTGTGTTACACCACGTAAGACTGTGCAGGGGGATGATTTGCTCTATTTGTACTGCTTCTCTAGATTTCTGCTTAGCATAACTCCAAGAAACCCAGAAAATGCTTCCTTTCTGTTTAAGGCATGTACACAATAAGCTTAGCAGATTCTAGCATTGACTTAGTTCTCCAAGCTGTTGAAGTGAAGTGGTCTTGTTGTGTATTTTAAAGAGCTCTGCCCTTTGAGCTTTTTGGGCCGGCTGTGTTGTTAGGTTGCAGCAAAGAAGGGTGTGTGGTACTGTTTTTCTCAGCTGTTCCTCTCAGTCCTCAGTGATTTTATTTTTCATATTGCTTTTCTTCCCTTGAAAATGCTAAGATTTGAATTTTTATTTTGGAAAAATAAAGTTTCCACTGGAATTTGAGGTAAGATTGTCGTGAGTATATTTATTGTAAGTATAAATACTTTTATACTGATATACAATTTATATATACTCACATACAATAAGATTGTTATTAAGTATATTTTTCTTAGACATTTTCTGTTTTTGAATCTCTTTTCCTTAACAGCTAGATCATGTTATTTAGTACTCTGGTGTGTGTGCCTTTCTGTCCGAGTGAGATGGCTGGAACAGCCCTGAGAAGATGCGGAGGTCTCTGTAGTGCTGTAGATTAAGTGACGTTTTGTATGATTTTAATAGTTGTGTAAAAGTACAAATAAACTATTGCTAGGCTTTGAAATCATAAAAAGGAAAAGTTAAAACAAAGCCCAGTACACTCAAATTATAACCATGGTGGAGCCTTTCTGTGTTGTAGGAATTCTGGGCAGGCATGTGGCGCCGTGGCTGTTGCTGCTGTCCGTGACCATGCTGTCTCGTGTCCTCACTGCTCCACTTCCAGTCCAGCTCCCTGCTGGTGCACCTGGGCCCTGCACCCGTGGGGGGAACCTGCATCGGGTTCTGGTGTGTGCAGATGCTTCAGGTGGTGCCCTGCCCACAGACCAGTGCCTGCCCTGATAGTGAAGCTTGAAGTAAAACTGTCGAAAAGGCCACACTCAGGCAGGCCCTCTAATCCTCCAGTCTTACTCACACGTCTGAATCATAATGTCATACACTGAAACCCAGACCCTGCAGGTATAAAATCCATCCTTTAAGTCACAGTCTAGTTAGGGAAATAAAACATGCCTTACAAGTTAAAATTCCCTTCCTTTTGTTGGAGAGGAATATTTTTGAATTTATTTCTTAAAGGGAGAAAATGAGAATTGTGAATGTTTCTGAATTTCTTGAAAAATTCTGCCTTAAGCTTCACACCAGGAATTGGTTTAGAATGTGGATATGAAAAAGCAGTGTTAAAGGTTGCTTTTTCCGTAATGTGGTTTAGTGTATATTGAAAAATAACTCCCAAGAGAATCTTGCTTTGTATGTTTTCTTTTTTGTTAAGATCCTTAAGAAAATGAGATGCTGAGCTTGGCAAGCTGATGAGGGAGCAGAGTTTCTAACCTCTCAGTGTGTTTTTCAGGTAAACCAGAAGACCGAAGCACGGCATATCCTCACCTTAGTCCATAAGCACTTCTGTACCAGACTCTGTAAGTCTCACCTGCTTCACATTGACGTCATTTGACCTAATTGCTTATTTAAAGTGCCGGTCACATTCTTTTTAAAACTTATTCTCTAATGAAGATAGATTGAATATGGATAGTTTTATTCCCACAAATGAATTCTTTTTAGCTTTGGATTAAAAGACATAACCAGTTTTTGCTCTGTTGAAATTATTTGTAGAATATCAAGTTAATGCAAGAGGAGGATTAAAGATAAATAATCTTTAGTTCTATTTATTGCAAAATTATGGGCTGTTGGTGGGCAGCTTAAGCCTGAATGAATGGTTCTATCACAGTGTCTATGAAAAGCCCAAGGAGTGATGCAGATTAAGACTTGTAGGTGTTGGATGGGAGATTTTATCTACAATTTGCAATGATATGTATTGTTTACTGAAAAAAATAAGATCGCCGAACAGTGTTACTCCTGCAAAAAGCAAAATTGTTCACTTAGATTACTTTATTGTAAGAATTTGAGTAAGAGGACTCTAAATAGACTTACACTCTGCAGTTAAGCCATCTCAGTGTATTTTGAACCTGCATAGAGTATTGAAGAAAGTTGGGAGTCACACTGGCTATGCTATTGGAAGGACATTTGTCTGTTTATTTTTAGCAAGCATTCGATATATATAAAATTTTGACCTGGAATATACACTGAGAAGTTACTGCGCTTGAACAGCTTTTGTCCTTTTGTCTGCTGTAGGGTGGAAATAATGATTATTTCATTGGATTTTTAGTAATTGGTGTCATTGGACTTCTTGCATGTGAAATGGAGTAATTTACATCCTCAGTGGGTTTCTGATAGCCATTATTAGATTTAAAAATATTTAAAATGGGAAGACCTAGGGATCACCTAATTCAAATTAAGATTTCCCTTCTTCCCAACTTACTGTTTTTCTAAAGACTGTGTGTGTATGTGTGTTTGAATGTCAGGGTAACAGAATGAGAGGGAGATTCTCTCTGCTATTTTGCTCCTTAGATGGCTGCAGTGGCCAAAGCCAGAGCCTGGAACTCATCATCTGAGCTCCCATGCGGGTAGCAGGGTACTCTAGCATTTGGCCTGTCTTTGGCAGGGGTTGGGCTGGGGGCAGAGCAGCTGGGCTCTCCCTGGCCGTCTGCTGAAGGGTGGCGGCACTGCAGGCAGCCCTGGGTACTCCCCTTCTATTATGGGCACTGGAAACTTTGATTACCTAGTCTTGCTTTATTTTGGAGATTGATACATTTATGATTGTGGTGTCAAAAAGTAACAAAAATCCTAGTTTTCTGCTTTAAAAAGTATTTTTTTGTTATCAAAAGTTAGGCAGTTACTTGTTTGGGGAAGCTTTGCAGAGTTTTGAATGCTGCATTTCTGGGGCTGGAGCTGTGGCATAGCAGGTAACCATATGGGTGCCCAGTTAAGACTTGGCTGTTACACTCCCTTCCTAATGTCCCTGGGAAAGTGTGAAGGATGCCCCAAGTGTTGGGCCCGCTCCCTGGTGGGAGACCTAGAAAGAGCTCTTTCCTGCCATTGGACCAGCGCAGCTCTGGCTGTTGCAGTCGTTTGGGAAATGAACCAGCAGATGGGAGCTCTCTTTCTGCCTCTCTCTCTCTCTCTGTAGCTCTGCTTTTGAAATACATAAAATCTTTAAAAAAACAAAGACACTTTTTTGTATTTTCCTAATTTCTACAATGAACATGTATTTGAAGTCAGAATAAACATTTTTTTTTCTTACAGGTAATACTTAAATGTGTCTCTGTCCTGTGTTGAACGTGTCTGTGTTTAGGTTTCTGAGCATGTTTTCTGTGGCTGCTGGGTTTTTCTGTGTGTCATCCAGAATTCAGCTGTTACCATGCTCCTAGCAATGTTCTGATGACCTTCATAGATACCTCCCTATCAGACCCTAGAAAGAACCTTAAGATGAAGGCCTGTGAGTGGTATTACTGGACCTTCCAATCGTAGAAGGATTTGAAATGTGACTTTTTTGCTTTATTGTGCAAAGACATTTTTAAACTGTTTTAGCTTAGTAAAATTCAGTTTTCCACACTGTGTATTGGAACACTGAGCTTGAGAAGTGTTTGCAGACATTCACTTCGCCTTTATCCTTCAGCTGGCTACATCGAGAGACCTCAGCTGATCCGTGCAAAAGTGCCCATCGTCAAGTTCAGGGATAAAGTCAGGTGAGTAGTGACTGAACTCCCTTCCTTCCCTTCCTTCCCTTCCTTCCCTTCCTTCCCTTCCTTCCTCCCTCCCTCCCTCCCTTCCACCCTTTTCCCCTTCTTCCCTCCATCCCTTCCTCCCTTCCACCCTTTATTCCTTCGCAGAGTTAAGAGAAGAAAGGGTGAGAAGAGAAGACACAGGGTGAGAGAAAGAGAAGAGAGGGTGAGAGATCTTATGGCCAAGGCTGAGCCATACTGAAGCCAGGAACTTCTGGATCTCCCAAATGGGTGCAGGAGCCCAAGCACTTGAACCATGCTATTTTCCCAGGTGCACTAGCAGGGAGCTAAATCAGAAGTGGAGCAGCCGGGGCTTTAACCAGCACCATATAGTATGCTGGTGTCATAGGTGGAGGCCTAACTGGCTTTGCTACAATGCTGGTTCCATGCAGTCTGTTTTTTTTCGGTTGCTAGAGATTGTTTTTTTGGGTATTCATCTGAAACAGATAATTAAGAGATATATATTACATCTCAGTAACTTAACTTTGCCAGGTTTTACAGGTCACTTGAATTGATCTTTGCAATAGCATTTTTAGGGGCTGGTATTGTGGCTTAACAGGTAATAATGCTGCCTGTGCCGCCAGCATTCCATATGGGAGCCCGTTCTAGTCCTTGCTGCTCCACTTGGGGTCCAGCTCCCTTGTGCTGGCCAGGAGAAGCAGCTGAAGATGACTCCCAGAAGTCCCTGGCTTCTGACCTCAGCCTGGCACGGACTTGGCCTTTGTGACCATCTTGGGAGTGGACCGACAGAGCATAGACCAGAGACTCTCTGTGTTTCTTCCTCTCTCTTTTGAATAAATCATTTGAAAATTCTATTTTAAAAATAGTTTCAGTAACTTTCCTCATGCTTAACTAAGTTATTCCACATGACATTTTGAGTATTTGAGGCTATCGAATTTAGTGAATATATACACATTTATATTTTGGGCTCTTGAGTGATTTCTTTTTTGAGCTTGTAATACATTCTCAAGAATAAATCTTAACATTTGATATGTATACAACATTTATTGTAAGTAGAGTTATGATTCAAACAAAGGCTATTTTTCTTTTTCATACACCTAACGTAGCCCTTTTCCTAGTAAGAGGGAGAGCGCACATCTGTGCCGTCACTGCAGGAGTGGGGGCTGGGCGGCAGGTGGGAGGGCAGAGCACACCCGTGACATGAAGCCCGCGCCTTGAGCTGGCGCCGCCACTTCCAGGGTCTGCGCTAGCAAGGATGGGAGTCAGGAGCCAGAAGCAGGTGTTGAACCGTGTGCCCGAGTGGGTCATGAGCACATGAACTGCTAGGCCAGGTGCTCACCCCTTAGGTTTCATTTTAATGAAAGATCATATGATACCTGAAACAATGGAGATTTAAAACCACTCCACAAAGCATGCTTACTTTATGTCCAGATTGATATTTTTCTATATAACCTAGCAACCTGTGTTCTGAGCTCCTTAAAAGTAATAGAATCATATATATAATAACCACATTTAATTGGAAAGGCAGGTTTACAAAGAGAACAGACAGACTTTCCGATCTGTTTGTTTGCTCCCTAAATAGCTTCAGTGGCCAGAACTGAGCTGATTCAATGCCCGGAGTTTCTTCTAGATCTGCCATGTGGGTGCAGGGTCCCAAGGACTTGGGCCACCCTCCGCCTCTTTCCCAGGCCTCAAATAGGGAGCTGGCTGGGAAGTGGAGCAGCCAGGACACAAACGAAAACCCATATGTGCTGTCGGTGTTTTCAGGTGGAGGGTTAACCAGTTGAATCATCATAGCGTTTCCTGCCCATTTTTTCAGTTGCCTAACAAGCGTAGTCCTGGCCAGGGCTGGGCACGGCCTCTTGTTTGCCTTTGGCTTCAGCTTTCCTGTTGCAAGCAGATGCCCTCCTCAGAGTGTAGTTAGTCCTGAGGTACTGGCAGGCACTCCCTGATGTGCCCTGTGGAGAGGATGGCTGCTAGATGAGCTTCACTCAGACTTTGGTTGTAGTGTTAATGAATCAGCTGCACATCCACTGAATCGGATGCCTTTAAACAGAAGCACAACACAAGGCAGTGTTCCGTGGTGACAGACGCGTGAGCGCTGTGTGCCCCAGGGACAGTAGCTAAGCTTCACTTTACTCAGTTTGCAGATTGACTGACTGTATTATCTGTGCTTTGGACAAACAGTGTGTGGCTCAAGCCGTTCCTTCTACTCATCTAGGCGTGTTTCTCGTATTGTGGTCAATTAGATGTTGTAGTTTCCTGACACCCAAAGGTACAACGGAAGATAAAATAGACTGAAAATTAAAATATTACCCAGTTATAATTGTGGTTAATTTTACAAGCAAGTGGTAATAGATAGATCGATTCTTTCTGTATTTAAGATTTTTATGCAAAAACTGTTCAGTATTTTTTATAGGCATCTTTTCATATTCTTTGTAAAAGCCATAAAACACAGAGATGCACAAACCCTTCCACTTCTCTAAAACTCAAAGATAATAGATGTTAACATTTTGGTTTAAATTTTCCAGTGTGTTCTATGCATATAAATGTACAAGGTTTTTAAAAAATAAAATTGGGATCTTTTTGTTTAACCATATATTAGGAGTCCTTGATTATGTCAGTAAGTGCTTTTTTTGTGTCATCGAATGAATAAATTATCTTAATCAGTTCCTGCACTTGAACATGCATTTTTAGTTTTTAATTACTATAAATAAACAGTTCATGATGAAAACTCATTCCCTATTTTGGATTATTTTCTTGTATTTCCAAAACTAGTATTTTAAGTACTACTTTGAATGTTTTTAAAGGTTAAAAATCACATTTTGGAGGGAAAATATGAATTACAGACTGTGTGTGTGTGTAAGGATTTATTTTATTTATTTGAAAAGCAGATTTAGAGATATCTCTTCCATCTGTTCATTCCACAAGTGGTTGCCAGCTCCCAAGGCCTAAATCAGGAACTTCATCTTTGTTTCTTGTCTGGTGTAGTTCCCTAAGGAATTGGACTTTTGGGGTTGACATGGTAGTATAATTTACCAGCCTTTTTAGAAGGAATATAGTGTATAGATAGGTTTTTTTAAAAGCCTATATTTTATTTGGCTCCATTCCTATTGTTTTAGCATATATAATGTTGTCTATAGTTCCAAATTACTTGGGAATATGTAACTTTGTGGGACAACTTGTCCAGAAAGAGGTGTTTTTGGTTACATAATCTGTTTATGTGGAAAAGACCACATGATTGTCAAAAAATCTTTTGAGAAAATTAGAGCCTGCCTGGTCACCACGTCACGTAGTGGCCTCAGAGGTGCAGAGCGCGGATCTGGGGCCTGGTGCTGGTGCTGTGCTGCACTGCTGGGTCGATGGCCTTGGTGTGGTTACTAGGGAGCAGAGCTTGTTTGCACTTCAGCTAAAGCTTGTCCTCTCTTTTTTCTGTTTTCTTTTAATAGTTGTGTGGAGTTTGACTTGAATGTAAACAATATTGCTGGAATAAGAAACACATTCCTTCTCAGAACTTATGCCTACCGTAAGTTTTTCATTTATTTCTAAATAAATATCAGCTTCTGTTTTTCCTTCATTCTTTATTTTTTAAAAGATGTTTGTAGTAAATAGGATTTTTTTGGTTGCATTTAAGGTTAATATATCTTATTATTTGTATAGTGTGTTACTGCATTAAAATCTTTCGCTACCACAGTTAGAGGTAAAATCAAGGTTCTTAGTAAATGGTAGTTTTTTAAAGGTAGCCTCTGTGACTTTCAGAAATAAGAAGCACTTATAGCATATAGTGCTTTGTACACAGAGCGGCATTGATCTTTTATTGGTATGAAATTGGAAAATAACATTTTAAAGAAACTGTGATTATCATCTTACCATTTTTAAGTTTTAATTTTACTTGCAGTTGAGAACCGAGTCCGTCCGTTAGTACTGGTGATTAAGAAGTGGGCCAGTCACCATGATATAAATGACGCTAGCCGCGGTACTTTAAACAGCTACAGTCTTGTATTGATGGTTTTGCACTATTTACAGAGTAAGTAGGATTCTGGTTTTCCCACACTTTATAAGTGAAACACTATTAAACTGTCTCATTGTGTCTTCTCTGCTAACTCTTTACATCCTTTTTAAGGTCCATGAAACTATTCCTATGTTGTTTTGAATGGTTTCATTCTGTTTTATTTTTGACAGTTTTTCTGTATCTACTTTTGTGTCCCAGAATTATTCTTTAGTGGACCAATTACCTTGATACAGATGAGATTCAGATGCCAAGGGAATAAGCCCACAAGACATCCAGCATGGTTTGTATTTTTCACTTGAGAAAGGAATGAAATGATTTTCTTGTTGAAAGAAGTTTCATTACCATGAGTTACCCCTGTGGTTAGATTTTATCCTTTACAAAAAAATTAAGAATTTTTTAGTTTACTTATTTTCATTTTATTTGAAAGGCTGGTAAGAGACAGAGATCTTCCATATTCATTGTAGTCCCTTCAAATGTATAGTTTATTTTTTTTTAATTTTTTTTGTATTGAAATAAGGTTTTTATTTCATTTTCCATGAACTTTTGGAATTACTATTTTGAACTTTTGACTATTATTCATTTGTGTATTACATGGGAACACAATGAAAATCATCAGGGTTGGGGAGCACAGTGATAGACTTGCCCTTTAAAAAGATGCCAAGCATCTTGCTGACCGTTCAGATGTTACAATGTGTGTTACTAGGCATTCTGAGTTTTACAATTGAAATCTAAAATATACCATTGTTGATCTTTTGTTTTAGTGAACTCTGTTCTCTTATGAATTCGAATTTCTTATAAAATATGTATGTAAAATGTGAACTATTTGACGTTATGTATTGACAAACATACTAGCTCCCAGTGTCTGTAGTTTTCATACTAATGGCAGTGCTTACAAGGAGAGGCTTAGCCTGTTGAGCTTCTGTACTGGCTCCTTTAATGTTTTAGTATTTTTCCAGCCTTGAATGGGGGAAGGAAACAGATCCTCTCTATGGAAAAAGCATTTCTTAGAATAAATTTCAGTAGTTAGGAATTGAGATTGTGCTATTCACTAAACGCCTGCAGTAGATTGGCTGGGCCTAGAACTGAGTCTGCACCTCCCAGTGTTTGAGCCATCCCTGCTCCTGCCAGGCCCACAGTCGTAGGAAGCTTCTTGGGAGCCGGGGCCGTCACGTGCTGCCTTCCAGGATGCATAAGCAAAGTAGACAGGGCCTGCACCAGCATTCCAGTAGGGAATGCCAATGTGCAAGTGTCGGTTTAACCTACTATGCCACAGTTCTAGTTCCAAGAAATTCATATTTTAAGTAAACTAATTTTCTATAACTTTCCAATTCTATTTATGAAAATTATTATAAAGCCATTAAAAAGTGTTAGGAACTTAGAATGAAAATGTTGGATGGTTCATAAAGTTCATGAAAAGTAGAGTTAAAAGAAGGCTTTGGTGTAAAAAAAATTCTGAAAGCTATGCACAACTCTTTTGCAATGTTTACTTTGCTTTAACTTTTGGAAGCCTCTGCTATAATTTCTTAACTTGCTAAGCATTGCTCTGGTAAGTGATGAGTGACTGCTTTGCCCTGATCATTTTAGCTGTTGTAGCACAGTGTAACAGACTTTTACAGACTTGGGCATGAAATATGGTACAGGATGAGAATTTAAACAGTCATCCTACTATATTCTGTGCAGTAGAAACTCTCTTGCATAAATTGTATAAATAGTTGAGGTTATGTATTATATATGCATGCATACATGCAATGGATATACACACATGGATGTGCACATATCATACATGTATGTATAGATGCATATATATAATACATGTGTGTTGAATACATAAAATGTGTGCTTTATAATATATATTATGTTACAAAGGTCATTTTTTACTGAATAATGAACTGTTTTGTTGCTGTTATATAATTTTCAATCTTAAATACAAAGCTTATCATATGACTGTTGTCTTTAATACTAGAGAAATCTTGAAAATGTGTTAATTTGAATACCATATGAAAACCATAGTATCTTATATTGTGAATATGTCACACTGCCTTTGTGTGATTTATTACATAATTATGATAATGAAATCACTGGTAATGCATTTAAGAAGATTGGATTTGTTGAAAGATTGGGAATCAAGACAAAGTTGATAGCTAACAAGAAGATAATGAATCCTTTATACACAGTGTTTCGGTTTGTCACATGTCTTGGTTTAGAGACATTCTAAATGCTGAGGAATTGTTTTATGATGTGTCAAGGAATCTGAACATAACTTTTCAGCTTTGTTTGATTCACTGGATCTTTTCCTGGAATTCTGAATTTGGTGGTGGTAGTGGGCCTATTGTGATTGAATTGTCTTGTCATACAGCCTCACTGAACTCTACTCGTCAAATTGTGGGTTTTTAAATAGTTATATCCCAATTAGTAGTGTCTTGCATATCTGAAGAACCTGTCTTGCTTGTCCTGTTTGTGTTTTTGATGTTGGACCAAATGACTTGTGTCTGTTATTCTGAACCATGTGAGAGAACTTTGTTTCCAGCAGACTGTTTGCAGTTCATTAACACAGCCATAAACTGAGTTTGCATTTTAATGGGTCATAGTTAATCTCAGGAAATATATGGAAACTGTTGAATTATAGCACAAATCCTATCTGGGATATAGCTGGCAAGTTATTCATTGTAAATGAATCATGTGAATTACAGAAGCTTTGAATTTTTTCTTTTTATAGCCTTACCTGAACCCATCCTTCCATCCCTCCAAAAAATTTACCCAGTAAGTGTTTCTTATACATTATTATATATTGTAGTCAAGTGTATGTGGATTTATTATATTCAATATTCGTATGAACATAAGGCTAAGTACATAACGCTTTTTGTGCAGGCCTGTAGAACATTTCAGTGGCTTGTAAAGCATTTCAATGTTCCATACACTTTGTTGGAGAACTAGCACTTAATTGGGATGCTGGTGGGTCCTCTGGTTGGTTGGTGCTAGAGGTGAAATCCTGTGCATGGTGCTGATGGTTGGGGCACAGTATACTCAATTGGTTGTGGTCTGTTTGGCCTTATTTCAATTTTCTTCATGTTACTTTAAAATATAGATTTGTAGTGTTTAGTTAGTTAGCCCAGTATATTCATATTTTGAGAAGGAGGGGACTAAATAGAGAAGTTGAGTAAATGAGTAATGTTTTTATCTTTCATTCATTCTTGTCAAGCCATACACCATAAAAGGTACCATTGGTATACTCTTCTTGTATGTATAGTATTGAGGATCCTGCTAAGATTATTTGGAGATGTTCAAGGAAGAATTGTGCCTGCCAGAAAAACATTCAATGTTACTTTGAGTTTAGAGAAGCCTCAGTAACATGATGAACATATTTGGAACCCATATAAATTCTTCTGTTTCTTTCCCAGTTTTCAAATGTTCTCACTCCAGAATTCTGTCTCCTTGTCACACAGTCCCGCCTTTGGTGTTTTCCTTCATAATCATCTGTGTTCTGCTGGTTTTCTTGGAAAGTAATATTAAAGTTCTTCACTGGAATATTTGGCCAGCCTTTCTTTGTGTCTGTTTCATACATTTATTTATAGGCTGATCTGTTTTCTAAACTTGGGAAATGATTGCATGACAAAGGAAAAGATATTCAGCTTGAAGGATCAGTTTTTTTAATGATGTGATTTTTTATTTGGGAGAGTTGTATCTACTATTTCATCCCCTGGCTGGCCACAAGGACCACAGTCTGCTTCCTTTCCCAGGCCATTGACAGGGGAGGGAAGTGGCACATCTGGGACCAGTCAGCACCCCTAAGGGATGCAGCAGCTTGACGTTGTTGTTTTGCTATAATGCTGGCCCTGGATGATCAGCTTTTATCAAATCACACAGAATAGTCAATATAGTTGACGTGATGGATCGTAAATGTAAATGAGTCTCTGATCACTGCAGACGTCAGCTGGAATGCACACTGGCAAAATACTCACCAACAGTCTCCTGCTGGGATGGGGATGTCTCAGGCTCTGGTTCATCTACCAGAAAACGTTATGGCAAAATCCTTTTGAAATCTCTTGCTTTCCTTCTTGTAAAAACTAATTTTGTGCTGCTGTGAAGAACTATTACAACGAGGTTGAAGTATAGTTGGGAATTCGTCTTTATATTCTACTTAGATATTATGGAAAATGAAGCATCAGAAAGCACAGGACTGGCGACAACCTGAACTCTTCCAAAGGTTTGTTTTCTTACTTGAAAGGCACAGAGTGTGCTCTTCCATCCGTTAATTTACCCAAAATCGTATAACAGCTGTGGCTTGGCCAGGCTCTAGCCAGGAACTGGAAACTCCATCTGGGTCTTCTTCCTGGGTGGCAGGGAGTCACATAACTTAGAGCATAATGTGCTGCATACCCAGGTTCAGGAAACTGGGACTCCCAGTGGTGCAGGATGTGGGCATCCAGTAGGGCTTAACGTACTGTCACAGTACCCACCCGCCCTGCAGTCAGTGTGAGTGTCCCCTCATGCTCATTCACTGGCTGGTACCGAAAGGTCAGGCATAATTATAGTGTGTTTAAAAAGTAACTTTTGGTGTAGGGAGAGCTACATTTTTCAGCATGCAAAGAGGAATAAGCCTAGAAGGCTGTTGTATTGGCAAACACTTCTTTGAAAATCCCTCGTAGAATCTGTGCTGGGTGAGGTCCTCTTGAGCTGAGCTTCCGGGGAAAGGCAGACTAGGTTGTGCTTGGAGCAGGGTCTTATGTACTAGTAAGTTCTAGTAAGAGCCTCACTGCCCGTGTCTGTGTCCATCTTCCTGTTCACTGAGCTCTCCTGCATGACGTCCTCTGCCATGTCTGGTCCTGTCCGTTAGGTGTTGACAGTCCTGCGTCTGCAGCTGCCCCAGGAAGGGTGTGGAGGGCTAGCTCAGTCCCCAGGCTTCCTCAGGGACGGCAGGCCTGGGGTGGCTTCTCTGTGCCTGTTACGCTATTGCTTTCTGATTGTTCCTGCACACACACATTTCGAGAAAGCAGATGCAATGCAATTTGAGCAAAAAAGGTTTTGCTACTTTATAGAGAACTACACGTTTCTTTTAAATGATGAACTTTCTCACATAGCTAAGTCTGCTCGTCCACTCCCTGTGTGACTGCCATAGCTGAGCCTGGGCCAGGAGGAAGCCAGGCACTGGGGACTCCACCCTTGTCTCCCACCCTGAAGCGGGGGCCCAGGTCTTCAGGCTTGTCATTTTCTGCTTTATCAGGCACACAAACAGTGAGCTGGGTCAGAAGTAGAGCAGCGAAAACTTGAACTGCTGATCCACTATGGAATGCTGGAGTTGCACTGCACCCCAGTGCCAACCCCAACACCTCAGTTTTCAAAGTTAGTTCTTCTGTTTTGTATCTTGGTGCTCTAGGAAGCCATTTGATTCAGCATAATAGAGAGATAAGAAAATAATTTTTTTAAGCTTAAGAAATGAGGAATCAACTTATCTGTGCAGCTACATGTTAAAAGTACCTTACATTTTACACAAACACATACACATACAAGGGTGTGCATATAAAAACTTCATGTTTTAAAATCCTTTGGAACATAGAGAAGGAATTTATGTCTGCAACAGGCTATACAGAATACCTTTGAGAAGACAGAAAATTTAAGTGAAGATTAATTTTTAAATGACTGAAAAACATTAAAGTTTACATTACTTAAATTTGAACAACCGTAAGGAAATTAATCTTGAAACAGTAAGTTGAAAGTTTCATGAAGTAATCGTATAATATAAATGTTATAATATAAATGTTACATTTATATTATACATGTGGTGTATAAATGTTCAGATACTAATTACATGCAGTGTCCTAAGCAATTGATAGGCTGCCTTTGCTGTTAGACTTTAACTGTTGTTATAACCCTGTGAAGACTGTTACTTTTCTTATAGATGATTAAGTTACACTTGCAGCTTGATAGAGTTCAGATTAGACGTTTTGAATCTAGTTTATTTCTAGAATTTATGTGCTTCTTGTTTGTTTTATTTGTTTGAAAGAGTTACAGAAAGAGGGAGAGATGGAGAGAGATCTTTGATTTGCCTGTTCTCTCTCCAGATGGCCAGCTGCAGTAGCTGGGGCTGGAAGGGACCCTGCTGAAGCAGGAGCCAGGGGCTCTGTCAAGTCTGCCACTTGAGTAGCAGGGGCCCAAACGCTTAGGCCGTCTTCCGCTGCTTTTCCCAGAACATTAGCAGGGAGCTGGATCCGAAATGGAGCCTGTTTGGGATGCTGCATCCCAGGCGGTGGCCTGACCTGCTAGGTCACAACAGTGGTCCCCAGAGATTATGTGTTTAAGCACATCATTGGAGTATCTGTGCTTTGTAGTGAGTGTTAATGTTGATTTTAGAACTGGAACAATTTCCCTAATATGAAATATAATTTAAGAAATTTAATGATCAGTCTTTCACATACATCACTAGGCTGATGGCTGTTGGCAATTTGACGACAGCTTGACAGGAATTTGAGCTTATCATGTCAGTCCTCCTTTTGTTTGCGACCTTGCTCAGCATTTATTTTCTGGAAATAGAAAAAGTAGACCATCATCTTTCATTTAAGCACATCTTTTTTTAAAGATTTATTTAGTTAGTTAGCTAGTTATTTATTTTTATCGCAAAGTCAGATATACAAAGAGGAGGAGAGACAGAGAGGAAACTCTTCCATCTGATACTTCACTCTCTAAGTGGCCACAATGGCTGGAGCTGCGCTGATCCGAAGCCGGGAGCCAGGAACTTCCTCTGGGTCTCCCACGTGGGTGCAGGGTCCCAAGGCTTTGGGCCGTCCTCCACTGCTTTCCCAGGCCACAAGCAGGGAGCTGGATAAGAAGTGGAGCTGTCGGGATTAGAACTGGTACCCATATGGGATCCCGGCACTTTCAAGGGAGGACTTTAGCCACTAGGCCACAGCGCCGGGCCCTAAGTACATCTTTTTAAAGAACAATTGCCAAGTACAAGTTTAGCCAATCTGGCTTATTCCCGTAAAGTATGTATTTGTCCAAATTTCAAACTTTGAAAGTGAAGTCAGTTATTATGGTGCAGCCTCAGGAATATGGTGAAATTTGTTAAAAGATGTTTTTGCTGTTATTAAACAAAAGCAGATTTTTCAGTTTTTCAAGGAATTATAATTAAATTTTTCTTAACTTGGCATTACTGTAAGAGAAATAGAAAATTATGTATCCTCGCAAATGTCATACAGATATCTAGAAAATGTTTTCATAGATTAGGTCATTACCTGTTTGTTTATGAGAAGCTCAAAATAAGGCATTAGTGTACAACAGTAGGGACTGAATCAATGGACAGAAGTTCTTGCTCTCTCTGATTTTTTTCAATAAAAAAATAATAAATCTTAAAAAAAAAAGGAACTGGATCTGACACAATAGCCTAGTGGCTAAGGTCCTCTTCTTGTACACAGTAGGATTCCAGATGGGCACTGGTTCATATTCCGGCTGCTCCACTTCCATCCAGCTCCCTGCCTGTGGCCTGGGAAAGCAGTTGAGGACGGCCCAAAGCCTTGGAAATGTGGGAGCTGCACCCACATGGGAGACCTAGAAGAAGCTCCAAGCTCCTGGCTTCAGATTGGCTCAGCTCTGACTGTTGTGGCCACTTGGAGAGACACAAGCGCACAGAAGAGCTTTCTCTCAGTCTCTCCTTCTTTCTGTAAATCTGCCTTTCCAATAAAAATAATAAATAAATCTTAATCTTAGCTTGTTGTACCACAGCACTGGCCAAAGAATGTTATTCTAAGTCCAGTGTCAGACATGAGAAGATGGTGTCGGGCAGTGCCTCTGTTCTTCCTTCTGCCTTACTTTCTGTTACAGAGGCAGGCGCCTTCCCTTCTCTCCCCACCATCTCCTTTACTAGGCAGCGTTTGTCTTAGCTCTTGCAGCCTTCACACTTAGGAAGAGAGCCCCAAATTCGGGACTGCCAGCTTCGTGAATTAGGGCTGGAGTAGAAATTTTCTTCTGAGAAAAAGGCAACTTCCTGGAAGCTAGTTTTACTGGTGGAATTCTAGTTAATGGCACAAAAGAGCAAATGTTTTTATTTTTTTCTTAAAGTGGCATTATTATGGAGGTGGGAGAAAGAGAGATCCTCTGTTCGCCGGCTCACTCCTCAGATAACCTCAGTGGCCAGAGATGGGCCAATTCGAAGCCAGGAGTCTTCAGTTGTCTTCTGCAGGTGCAGGAGCTCGAGGAGCTAAATCATCCTGTGCTGCTTTCCCAGGCCACTGGTGGGGGATTGGGTCAGAAGTGGAGCATCTGGGGCCCAAGCAGGTGTGCATGGGGGTGCTGAAGCCAGTGAGGCTTAGCCTGCCGTGACTCTGGCCCTGCTCTTGTGTTTTTATTGATTTGTGTCAGGACTGGGATTAAATGATACACCTCTCTGTTGCTGTCTGCTGGTTAAATAGGAAGCCAGAATTGTTTAATTTGGCCTTGGGCTTATTCAGATGGTATTTGTTGAATTAGTATCTGTAAACCCAAAGTTGATTTGTTAAATAGTTGATGAGTTTGGCTTGAGTCGTCATTTCTGCCCTAACCAGTTGCTTGTAGTTTTGAAAATGTATTGCTAGTCTCATGGCAGAAGAGAAGTGCAGCGCATTCTTGACGGCACTGTGCAGTTTCCTTACATTGCTTCTGAGTGTGGGTTTATGTTGAGAGTCTGTGTCGTTCAGTTAGTGTTGTTCAGAATCAGAACTTCTGCTAATAATGGAAAGTGCAGATATGAAAAATGAGAAGCCTGCCACAGGCAGAGGTGGCATGTTTTCTGATCAGAGCCTTGCTCGGGCTTGCATCGCCAGCGCCTGAGGTCGGTGCTGCGTGACCTGCCTGCCACTGTGTCAACTGTCCTTCCTTTCCCTGCCTCATTTTGTCAGTTGATGCTGAAAACCTCCCCGAGACACAAGTCTAGAAATGTGATTAGCCTAGTGAAAGTCTCACAGTTGCTGGACTCTCCTGCTGGAGCTCCGTCTGTGTCTCTGGGAGGAGCTGCTGTGGCAGTTGGTGCTGTGCTCGGTGCAGCTCTTAGGTAGCTAGGGAGAGATTGGCCAGCGCTCCTGCAGGCCACTGGGGTCTTGGTGTGTGTGAGTTCTTACTGGTGTGTTAGGGAATCTTTTGACACCAGGGCATCTGTTTGGTTAGCTTAGTGATACAGTAAGATCAGCATGTTTTTCAGATACATTCTAGGGTACTACTAATGCTGGTGAAATCTCAGGTCCTCAAAATGCCAGTATGAACAAGTTACCACGTCTTCAAGAGCCTAGATGACAAGTGTCTTAATGTGAGTTGTGAATGACTGTGCCTGCATTCTCTTTAACAGGAATCTTTTAGTCCTGCCATCCAGCTCCACCTTGTACATCAAGCCCCATGTAATGTTCCTCCTTACCTCTCAAAAAATGAATCAAATCTTGGAGACCTCTTACTGGGCTTTCTTAAATATTATGCTACAGAATTTGAGTAAGTAGAACTTGGGATTTATTTGTTTTTATAGAAGTAAATGCTGCACACTGTGCCAGTTACAATGCTATAAACTCGCCCAGAAAGAATGCTTTATAAAACTGTAATAGTGCAGTGCTAGAAACTAAATTAATTTCCAGTTGTAGCTAATAATGATGATAAGGTACTGAACTTCAGTGAGCTCACTGGGTGTTTGGCTGCCCCAAGCCACAGAAAGACCTGTGTGGCCCTGTGTGTGGATCCTGCATGGGAGCTGAGCTTTGGAGCAGCTGTTTTGTAGGAATTGCAAAGACAAACTTGGGGAAAAAAAACTAATGCTTACTATTTGAATAAACGTGCTAATGTGATGTACAAATCAAGGAATATATTCCCTGCTTTTTTCTTTGAGAGTGATATGTACAGGAAGCGGAGTGTATCATCAGGCTGGCCAGAATTGTAAGTTCTCTTGGGAGTTCTGAATTAGAAATAGGGGTGGAGTTAAGGGTTGTTTACAGCTTTGCTGAAAAGTTTGGAAAAGTTTGGGATGCTGGCGCTTGCAGGTGGGGGATTAGCCTGTTGAGCCACCACGCCAGCTGTCTGGGTTACTTTTGATCAGAACAAAATTGAAAATCATAATTTTGCTGCTGTATGAATAAATTCACAGGTGCAAATTTTTGCTTACATATTTTTATTTTTATTTCTGTTTTTCTTGTGTATTTTTAAAAATACCATTTATTTACATAAGGGGAACAGATTTCATGTTTCCTATGTACAATTTTTAAACGTGTTTTTATTTGAAAGGCAGATTTTTACAGAGAGGGTAGACAGGTCTTGCATCCACTGATTCACTCCCCAAATGGCTACAGTGGCTGATGATCTGAGCCAGTCCAAAGCCAGAGGAGCCTCCTCTAAACTCCCCACACAGGGACAGGGGCCCGAGCATAGGAGCCATCCTTTGCCATATTCAACAGGAAAGTGGGGCACCAGGGACAGGAACTGGCTCACATGTGGGATGCCAGCGCTGCGGCTGAGCCTGCCATGACACTGTGCCACTCCATTTTTGTGTGTTTAATGTAGAAGAGGAATTCTATTTCCAAAAAGCCATGATGGTTTTCCTAGGCTGAGTATTGTCAATTTCTGAGGCCGAAGCGCCACGTCTTCCTGCGCCCGCTGACCTGGAGGAGAAGGCTTGTATGCTGGAAAAAGGGGACACCAGCTGTTCTTCAGACTTTTTTGTGTATAAAAACTCCTGGTACATAAAATTTTCAAATTTTTTGCACCAATAGAAGGTTATATATTTTCCATTTTGGGAGAATATAAACGAAGTAAGTATTATAAAGTGAGTTGTTAAAAGGTAGATGTCATGAAGAAAAGAGTTGGGGAAAGTCTGTGTGTGTCAGAGTTAGCCTTACCATTGATAGAATAAAAATAATGAGAGAAATTGTGGAAACGTGTGACATAACGAATGTCTTTCCTCTTGTAGCTGGAACAGTCAGATGATTTCAGTTCGTGAAGCCAAAGCCATTCCGAGGCCTGACGGCATTGAGTGGAGAAACAAGTACATCTGTGTGGAAGGTAGAGCCTCCCTCCGGGCAGC